TAGATTATAGTCTTGAAACTATGATTTGAGTTATAATTTTGTAACCAGTATTAAACCGATTTAAGACCATAGTTTGACTGTAGTTTAATTTTTATAGGACTGAGACTAGACCGAATAGAATCAGTTTATTATAGGTTTAAACTGATCCTATGACGGACTGCAGTTTATTAGTCCAAGACCAGACCAAATAACATCCCTACTTCTTAATAAATACTTCGACCCAGATCTATCACTAGGTGGCATAGTAAAAGGACTTCGTTCGCATAAGTGTCTTGCTCATGTGACTTTGTAGACGTGCTGAGGACTGCCGTGATTTTCAAACTCTCTCGTACTGTGGATAGTTGTGGTTTGTTTTGTGTTCCGGTTTGTGATCCAAGAGGAGGACCCCAGCTGCGGTTTTGTGTGTTAGATACGTATAGTGAATAGAAAGTATAAGTGTTGGTGTCTATTATCAAAGTATCGATACAAATCAAAAGAAGTTATACCTACGACCAAATACCCCACTCGCCAAATAAAATCACCTCTTTCGACTAAGCCGATCGTAGGTTACACGACGCCCGGATAGTTTAACGACCGACTCGCCAGCGATCAATGATCGCTTCCGACCTCTTTGACTTAGCCGATAAGATCATGTTACACGAAAATTAAATCAATTATACCTATTGTCTGTTATAAGAGTTAACAATATTAACGATTTTAACGATATTTAATATTGCTTTAATTCTCGCGTAATTATCGAGCTACGTCAAAGTGGTCGGAGGCGATCGTTGATCGCGTGATCTGGACTTTTTTTTGCCAGATTTTAAGTGGTCCGACTCAAATACAGAAATATAGGGACGATCGTACAAATAGCGAAGAGGGTTACCGTATTTCTCCGACATATGTACCCGGGTACTCATGTAGGGGGTATACTGTACGAATACTTCCATGTTTTTATAATTTGTTATACATACTACTATATGCCCGGGTACATAAGTGTATACCCTCATACTTATGTACCGGGTATAAATCAAAATTTTGCCTTTAAAATCGTTGCAGGGTATAGCACACAGGGTACATATGTCGGAGAAATACGGTAAATGGTTTAAATCGCTAAACTAACACACGTATACAGTTTATAAAGTTTCTCTTTATTAATATAAATAAACCCATCGGATTATCATAATAATACTAAATATTATCAACAACCGTTATTCCCATCATAAACTGAACCTATACCCTTATATATCTTTAATTCGTATGGGTTTTGATCCCTCGTTTGAGGTTTCAATCCCTCGCTGGGGTTAAAATAACCCAACTATACCACAAACCATACCAAAATAAAAAAATGCATAAAATAACGATAATGATAAAATAAATTTTGAGCGTAAACACCGGTCCTATCTTTTTGGGGACGGACAGAAAAGACCATCGGTCCTAATATCGGTTGTCATTAAATCATTGTTATACGTAGATAAATTATATCTAATTACGATATTTGATCTAACGCTAATACGTAACTGGTCTAAATTTGGAAAACCCGAATGTCTTGTGGCGCAAATCGGGTGTAGGACTGTTAATCAGCTCGATTAAAACTGTTGGTCCTGCGGCCTGTCATATCATTTCGACAGGAGGAACCGTTGATGTTACACAAGTGAAACACAAAAAAAATATTTTACAATGTTACGATTATAATCCAACATCATTTTTTTATAATAAAAAATGGTGTTGGATTATAGTCGTAGCATGTACTAATTGACTGATCAAGTCCGATCAAAGTATTGTAAAATAATTTTTTTATGTGTTTCACACCGCGTGTAAAATCAGTTGTGTAACATCAACGGTTCCTCCTGTTGTTCGATAATCGTTTAACTTTAGCATCAAAAGGTTCAATACAAAACGATTCTTTGGTTTCCTTTTGTATTCTTTTTCATAATACATATTTATTAAAGGTAGATCTTGGCATAGTACAGATCTTATATATGAATTAACTATACAGAAAATCGAGCTTCTAGTATTATTATATTGACAAATATAATTTGAGAATTTCAAAGTTGAAATTTTTAAGTTATATCAGTTCGTATAACCCTTGGGACTATAAATCACTTTTTCTAAATCTTTTGTCTATGAATCATTTAAAATTTTTAATTTGCTGATCTCATATAACAAAGAAATTTTTTCCCTAATTGTTTAAACAATACTGGTAAGCATTAATTTGAACGAGCTCTAATTACATAATACTTATCAATTTTAAATAATTTACGAGATGCATCATTTATGCAGAACCGGTTTCTTCATCAAACGATGGCAACCCAAATGTTGTTGGATCAAAATCATTCAAAGAAAAAATCATTTCATCAGCACCATTTTTACCCGGATATAACTCTGCAATCACAGGATCTGGTACCCAAATAACCTATTTAAATGATTTTAACGATATTTTATCTTAAAAATTTTTAATGGAAATTAAAATCTTTATATAAAAGCTTACTTTCATGTTTGCATTCTTTGCAGCTTTGAGTCCATTAATCGAGTCCTCGAATACCAAACAATGTTTCGTAGGGGGATTACCAATCCCTTCACGTGCTACAAGAAATAGGTCCGGAGCTGGTTTACCATTCTTGACATTCGCATCATCTCCACAAGTAATATTATCAAACATATCGAATAATTCTCTATTATTGGAGGCTTTAATATTGAAACTTTCACGACTCGAACTCGTTGCAACCTATTCCGTTGTGTGTATCTATTATTAAAATCTTTTTTAATAGGTAAGGTCTTTCACTCGTGTAATCATACTTACCGCTATTGGAATACGGTGCTTTTTCAAATGAGTCACAAGTCGCTTATTTTAACAAACAAAAATTTTTGATTTAGATGTTATGACTTGAAAACACAAAAACATGTAATTAATTTATTACCATGGCGCCAGGCATGGGTTTAGCAAAAGGAAATCTTTTAAACTTTATACAGTAATAAAAATTGTCTTTAAAAAAAAAAAAAATTTAAAAATCAATTGTCACTAAGAAAATCTATATATCATACATTTTTTTCATATCGTTCCTTAAGAAATTCATCTGCCGTCATATTAATACCTGTTTCATTTACCAATAGAACGTCAAACTGGATAAAATGTTAATCTTATAAAGATAAATTAATTTTAAATACATATAAAAATGTGTGATCACAAATTTTGTACCTCGTATTTACGAAGACCTAGCGAACGTGACCTGAGTTCCAGTGAATAAGTTTTTCCAAATCTTGCCAAAATTTCAGCTAAAGAAAATAAATACATTATTTAATCAAATATTAACAAAGCATTAGTATATAACATATTTGATTATTACATGTTACTTCATAATATATTTGCTCCGTATTCTATAAAAATGGTATTCGATTTATAACCCAATGCATTAGTACGTTAGAAAGTGCATTACTAAACAAATATATGTACGTACGTACCAGTAGCAAACCTGCATTAGCAAAAAAAAAAAACGATTAATTACTATTATAATTTTTATTTTTTTTTTAAAAAAAAAACCATATTTATGAGAAAAGAAACTAACCATCCATGTCAAAAATGCAATGAGTTATAACGGGATCAATGTTCTTTCCTTTAAAATTAGTCGATATTTCTGCCATCGTTTTTCACCTATACCTACTTTCTAAAAACAAAATTTTATATGCGTATTTTTTTTAGTATATTAGCATAAATTTTAACTCCCTAAAAATGTACGTTGGCAATTTCAAAATCCAGCTTAATGACTTGCGTCAAGAAAGAAGGGTAGATGCTCACAAAATACAGACGGGCAGAATTATCGTTTAATATACGATCTACAGTATATTCATGCTATCCTACGATATTCGTTTGTATAATTCGATTCTTTTGAATTAGATCGATTTCTGTGCGACCTAGATAATAATACAAATAGCTAGACTGGTTAGGTGATTTTCATGTATAGAAAGTGCAAATTTTCAATAATAAGTTTCCGGGATAATGGCTAAACTTTCGATTGAGTAAAGTGATCACGTGAGATGCAAAAATTTAAAGTATACCAGGAACGGAGTGATATGAAATTATTTATATGGTTTCGTTTTCAAAGTATTTGGACAGTCCATTAGACGCACTAAAAACGTGAATTTCTGCACTTATACATCGATACGCATCATATAATACTATATTTATATTTTGTATTAACCATAAAAACGTAACAGGTTTGTTCTTGATTAAAATGCATGGTGATCAATTATAAAAATGTGAATTTTATTGTCATCAGTAATTGCACTATCTAAATATACAGGAACAGAGTACGAAGCGCGTAAGTATACCAGGAATGGGGTACGTATTACGTTAGGATGTACAACATCGGGTACCCTAGCCATGGCAAAAAAAAGTTCGGGTCACGTGATAACCGATAATAATCTTTAAGCTTATTTAGATTAGGGTTAGGGTTCGGATCAGAATTAGGGTTAGAGAGTGCTATATAGTGATACAAATCGTCAAAAATTTTGCAATCGATTAGTTGTCAACTAAACGATTATTCGATTTTTATTCGATTTTA